AAACGTTTCTGGCAGATTTCCGGCTGTCCAGTCCATAGACGGCATCGGTAAGCCTCGCAGCTTATCCATGGCAAACTACTAATTGATTGACTTGAATATTTCTGGAAAAACGTGATGATTTCGGCGAGAAAATCCTCAACGTTCTGACACCATGTTGAAGTGGTCGAGCGCCATGTTTATTGACTGATTBGCATGACTGGTTTACAGGATTACGTCATTATAACTATGCATATAATTATGTATATCATAACAGCTTTGTGTCAGAGTTACTGTATCAGCTCCGTTCAGTCAAGAACCTCAAATGGAAAGCAATTTAGTTTAGAAATGTCATTTTTCAAAGCAGCTAATTAACTAAATGTGGAGTTTCATAGCATTAATGCATTGCGGTCTTGGAATGCACTTTGTAGTATGAGTATTCAACTTTTTCTGAAATAGCTATAATCTATGATGTAGATTTTAAACACTTTTCAAAAGTAATTTCAATCATGAAATTGCACTAAAAACCAGCAATAAACAAGCATTAGATCTGTACAGTCGGCATAGACGCTGGGTGATGCATGAATGAATGAGCGAAGTAAAGAAAAAAAATGAATGAAAGACTTGATGAACATGTAAAAGATTGAATGAATGAATAGTTGGCAAAATAATGGATTCTAATGCTGATAGGATAAGAATGTACAAATAAAAGAACCCGAAATGTCAATCTACTAATATAGTAGACTTACTCGTGGAGTTCCTCTGACGGATCTATGAGATCATCCAAATCAACTGATGACACCTCAGAAGCCTCTGAGTCATCTGATAAGTAAAAAATTRAAATAGTTTCAAATTAACAACAATAAGTTGCAGATCGACAAATTAGGTATTGTGAAAAGACAAGAAGAACAAAGAGTGGCTATCACGAATCCCTCTATTCAGACACAGTACGCAAWAAGCCATTATCAATACTCCAGKTTCGACATCTTATTTCTGCAGCCTTAACCTCGAAAGCACGTAATATATTSTTTTATTCAGCAGAGGATCTATTGTAATGCAAACACTCTGTGTACAAAGAAGACAATAAACATTTATACTTGATTGAAGCTAAGCTTGCACAAAAGAGAATTCGAAACTACTTCTACTGCTATTTCTATTACCTGATGTACATTGTGARATCTCGTTTTCCCTCTGAAATATGAGATAACATAAATTAATCTGTAACAAGAAGTAACTCAATACATATTTCATACAATAATTGCAAATTATTGAAAAAGACGAAAAAACTCAAATATACGTTGTCTTTTCATAAAATTACCGTTTCTCTTAACTCATTTCTCTCCCTTGTCTAATTCAGTAATTCTATTATGCAGCTCAGCACCACATTATAATGATAATTATACATGAACACTGAAGTGGTCGACAGGAGGCCAATTCAAATTGCACAACCAATTTGTAACCACGTCGGACAGAATTCACTCTCTTAAGCTCCTTCCAGTGATTATAAAAGGCTTAAAAAACTATCAAAAATCATAAGCGTTTATAATAATACATGCATAACATAATAGATTGCTGACCGCCCACCTCTTCTATATCTTTAAATCTCTCTTTCAGCTCTGCTATCTTATCCTTTAGTTTCAGCTTTTTGTACATCGCCTCCAATCTCTTCCGAATCTTTGTTCTCACAAAGCTGTGATTGTATTCTGGAAGTGCTTCCTCCATTTCAAAAGCCTGTTCATAGCTTTTGCGTGCACTTTCAATATCTTTCCTCCACTCGTGTATAATTCCTGTAAGGTACAGAATCCTAGCAGTCTCAGGATGTTTACCCAGGCGTTTTAGTCTGTTTTCATAACACTTGCTTGCATACAACAGCGCCTTGTCATAATCCCCAATACCGATTAAAGAGTTTGCAAGATCTCTTTGAAATGTGGCGGTGTGTTCTGTATCACTGACACCCAAATCGTCTTGGAGTTTAAGAGCTCTTTCGCTACATTCTACTGCAGCATTGTATTCGGCATCAATTTTCGTTTTATACCAAAACTTGATAAGGGATTTTACCATGTTCATCCCGCGTCTGACGTGAACCTGCGCGATTTGGTTGTAGTATTTCGGGATCTCCCAGTGGTTGTCGCTCCCAACAAGTTTCCTTTTCATTTCCAATGCGCGGAGAAAGTACGTCTCTGCAGTCGAAGGATCGTTTAGCTCCATGTAGCAATTTCCAATCAGATTGATAATCCGAGCTTTCATAGTACTGGCTTGTCCTTTTGTTGCATCCTCACTCAGCCTCAAAGATTTCTTCAAATTACTAATTCCTTCTTGAATTTCGTCTTTCTTTTCTTTTGAGTCCTGCGACTTTGAAGCATGGAGCCACTTAATTTTTCCACTGGCATACAGAAACAGGCTTTTGGCAGCTTTCAGTTGTTCCTGCGGCTGTTGCGGTTGCTGCTCTGCCTTTTTCAAGGATCCTTTTGCAATGCGGAGTGCTTCATTGGCATCGCGTGTTCCTTCCATGTCTGCTCCTTGCAAAGCCTGCCAGCATCTTAACTGTGCACTGATCAACCATTTCCCTAAAATGGAAAAAAAGAATCACATTTTAGAGCATGTACAAAACGTGTTAGGTATTAAACGTATTATCAGATTCAAAGGAAGCTACAATTGTAGCACTTACAATCATGCACTGTTCAAAGCAAAACTTAGTAGGCGATTGATCACTGAAACATGTCAAATATGAAAGCTATTATCCTTTCAATTAAAATTACTATATCAAATCCTACTACTACGTCCTTTTGAAACTCAAAAATAAATAAAATGTTGTTGCAAAACTTTTTACAAAAAGAACTTTGTTCATCACTACATTTGATTTTCAACTCATTTTAAAAATTTTGTCCATGGAATGATATAGCAAATTATTAACAACACTTTGACTTGAAGAATTTTAGGTACCGCATATGAGCCAGTTAACACGTTTAAGGCCTTATTTTAACAAGCATTGAATAATGTTGAAACACTATTTCGAAGTCAATACTAGTCCTGTCGGAGCCCCACTTTTTTGCTTTTAGCTTCCTTTAACTAAACCAGTCTTCAAAGATGTGAGTAAATGAATGTACAAGAAACATATCCTGTGAAACTGCATACCTGATCTTTCTGCATTTTCAGCCCACTGTGAATACAGTATCTTTCTTTCGTTGGTGTCTTTCAAAGCTTCAAGCAAAAGGCCCATCAAAGCTGCTTCATTATGGTTGTCACAATGGAGAAGAACATCAAAGACTTCATCACCTCGTTTCTTTGAAATGTCAATGGCCAGTTCAAAATTAGCTCGGTTTCCTTCTAGCTTTGAATAGGTACCGACAAAATCCTCATCAAAATTTGGAGCAAGTTTGCTCATTTTTCCAGCGAAGTGAGTAAAAAATTGTTTTTCTCCCTCTTGCAAAGCCTCTTTGTACTGTAGCTGGGCTTTACAAAGATACTTTTTCACAAAATCTTTGAACTGAGCATGGATGTCATACTTTAACTTCTTTCCATCTACTTTTGATAATACTTTGTGAACTGCTAGCAATTCCAAATCAATACTAGCATTATAATTTAATTCAATATCTCCAATCTTCATTGCTGTGGAGATAGAGAAAGGTTGCTGGAGATGAGATAGCTTGACTGCAAGTTGCTTTAGGTGTTCAGGAATTGATTCAAATTGTTCAGCCATGCAAGCATATTCCTCGGGAACCTTTTTCTCTAGCTGAGACTTTAGCCTCTTCAACACCTCTGACAATGAACTGTCCTCTCTAAGCATCTGCTTGGCACACTGTAATAGGTATGGGATATTTTTGCAAAGCTTTACAATTTCCTGCATATTAGCTTCTTCATCCTCTTTAGAAATTCCAGGAATCTGTTTCTCATCACGACTAAGAAAGCGTTTAGACACCTTGTCATCAAAAGGCTGAACCTTATGATCAGAAAGCAATCTTTTCCTTAACTTTGCATCATCCAATCTCTCCCTTGAAGTCAAAAGAAGCTTCAAATCACCACTTTTACAAGCTGTTGAAGTAACTATTTCGAGAAGAAAATCAAAAAACTCTGCTTTTTGGCTCTCAGTTTCTTTCTCTGATGGGAGACCATGTAGTTGCTCAACATTATCAAGAATCAATAGGGTTTTTTCTTTAAGAGTTTTAAGGTGTGAAAAGAATCTACTTATATCCTTATCCCAAATTGGCAGTTTGAATCCGTCAAGAACATGAAAATAGACATTTCCCATCTCAAGAATTCCTCTTAAATCGATTGTGATCAGTTGGAAATCTTTCAGGGATTTTGCAATTTCTTGAGCAAGGGTAGTTTTGCCAACTCCTGATTCTCCAAAAAAATTAATTCCCGGAACACAAAGCCGCTTATTAGTAAGCATCTTGACAATTATTTGAACATCAGCTTCTCTTCCTACAAATTCTTTCATCTCTAGTGGCTCGCATTTGTCAATGATGCCTTGGATTTCTTCCTTCTTCTCGGCATTAGCAGTGATTTTCGGGATTAGCGACAGGTCGTTTGTGATGGCGCCAATTTTGAACAATGCTCTCTGTAACTCGAAAAAATCCTCATCATCCAAGCCACCCAATTTATCTGGATATATCTCCTTCATACTTTGAATGATATTTGTTTTTTCGGGTTGACTCAGAAGTTTATCGACGTCTTCAAAGGTTTGTTGAAATTGAGGTGGGAGCTCAACATTGGACGCCATTTTAAGTTGGTATTTTCACTATACCTGGAATATCTCTTCTTTGATATCTAAAACAATATCTCATCATTAGTGGTCCATTTTAACTCAGCATCATTTTAATTATAAAGTATGRACTATTAATACTTTTCGAATAGAGTGAGATAATCGGAGTAGGAAAATAAGTAAATTTGCTTTCATTCATCTTGTACGRTAGCTCAGTATAGAATTCCTTATCAAATCTTTGTGGTTTGCCGGCAACCCTGTCAAATACACGATGAATGTGCATGAATAATGATCGTAAACGCAGGTGACSCAAGCCCAATAATTGAGTTGGATTAATTACTGTAGGATGCATGAGACAAGGGGACAAACGTTGAACTTATGGCGCAGAACTTTCAAAATTAAAATGCTGTTCAAAAGTTATGATCATGCCTTCAGGAGCATTTTAAAAGCTTAAAAATGTCAACACATAAAGTGGTAATTCGGTTGATGTCCGCGTGTAATAAGATAAATTAAAAGACACACACACACTGGAAAAAATCGCGCGCTGTTAAGGTGTAAATTTAATGTAAATATGATGTAAGTGTCCAAAATTCTGTAAATTTAATGGAAATAATTTACAACAAATTTACAGAGTTTTGGACACTTACATCATATTTACATCAAATTTACAACCTTTAAAGCTCGCGATTTTTTCCAGTGACACAGGGGATTTTGTTGTCATTCAAGGAAAGAAAGAAATTCAATTTGTGTTTTTTCTTATATTTCAGCGAATTTAGGTATTTAGAAATAAACTAAAGAACGACTTACCTTTCTGTTCAGAGCCTCGCGCTGTGGCGGATCATGCAAAAGACTAACGTTGTTGCGGCTTAGCAAGGAGAAAAAACGTTGTCTGAGAAAAAGAATCATTTAAGAAATTGAGCGCTCTGGGACAAAATTTAATCACTATTTTTTAGACCCTGTTTACATGACGTAGGTTATACCTAGGTGGAAGGACTAATTCTTTTGTTTTATGAAGCGCAAACAAAAGAGACCTAGGGACACCCTTCTTGATAAAAACAGTTCCTTTATAATAGGCCTAATAATCGCCTAACACGTTGCCATGTACGTTACCACCCAATTCAAATCCTGTGGGAAAAACAACTTTTGTTTGTAAGATTTCAACTTTGAATGAAAATACACGAAGAATGGAACTTACTCCCGGGTGGTTCGAATTGGTTGGAAACGTCTTAGCAACGCGTTAGCCGATTAGGTCTATCCCAGTTGTTTTTCAACAACAATAAAGATATGTGACGCCAAAGTTTTTTTTGGGTATCATCGAGTGCAGTAGTGTTATGATCGAATGTTCGAGAATGCCCGCAGTATACGTAATGAATGAAAATAATTTTAAACTTTTATTTAAAAGTCATAAAAGAAAGGGACAATCTGTTATTTAAAAAGATCACAGAAGATGATGAGCACATACTGCAGGAACTGCTACCGAAAGTAAAGATCGGACGATACTTGTTGCGGTAAATATTTTGTATGGGTTTCTGCGAACCTCGGGGCGGGCTAGCTTCGGTAGCAGCGACTCGAATGGCGTGGGCCCGTAATCTGACTTTTACCCTACGAGATGGCACGAGACTTGGAGACAGAGCGCGGAGTAAATTTCTCTTTAAGCTTCCTTTAATCTTGAACAACAGTACTCTAGCACACGGCTAGTTGGTCTCTTGACTAGCATGAGTCAAGCTCAATGCTAGGAGAGTGGTCTCTAGATCTCTGATATTACAATGATTCCCAGAACTATTTATGCTAGATCCGTTATACAATATTAATTACCTTAAGTTGTTTGTTAGCCAAACCAATCATAAACTAACGACGCGTAAAGCTTAACATCCAATCACAATGATAATAGCGAAGATGAGCTAACATACGCAAAAGCTATTGGCTGGAACTATGACGCTAAGTAAAGTGTCCAACTGGTGCTACCAGTAACTTCTAGCACTTTGCAGTTCCTGGGCGTCGCTTGTTTCCAGATAGTGACGCTACTGAATTATAGATAACTTGCAACAGGTAACCTCTAGAAAAACTCTAGCCTAACTCGCTATGTTTATGTTATTACCTGATATGTTAAAGCTTGTTATGATATTTTAGCCAATTTCCAACTATTCCCAATTTTATACAATAAATTACTAATTTGTTTTCCCAATAATTTYGATGAATTTTTTCCCGTTACACTGAAACATTCTTTCATACAGATGTCTTTTTTTATACATATTCTTCTTTATTTCTATTCTCCTTTTTAATACTTGTAAGTAAAGATTCCACGTTTGTTGAAATCTATTGAATAAAGACCTGTATTTATTAAAAATACATGGCGCCAACACGATATGACTTTTCGGCATTTTAGCGGTTCTTTACCAAACGTTTCGACAACTTGTGCATATCATTTGTAGAACTCATACAATTCCGTCCGATCAAGACGAAAAACTAATCGCTACACGTAAACCCCGTCTGATAGAAATCCGGTGAGTTACGGGTTATACGTTTCAAATCATTGTCCGTCAAACTATCTGAACTATTATAGGTTTTTGAAACACAGAATTTCGTCAAAACGTTTTCCGTCTTCTCATTAATATATATGAATAAACTCCATGGCGTATTTGGATGGAAGTTTGATACTGCAAATACGAACCCGTTTAGATATTGAGGTGGGTTAAATTGCTAAATGTCTATTACTCCCAACATAATTAATCAACTTCTCTCAAACGACAGAAGAAGTATGAAACTAGTATGAACTTAGCGCCTACCTTTGTCAGCTTTCTTTACTCCGAACTTGTCTCGTCAATCGGTAGTTTCTTCGATTTTACATCATGGAAAATATTAGAAATATTTCCATTAAACTAGTTAGAGCTGTGCAAATCGACGTTTCAGATTTAAGAACGGGAAAAGCACCAAAGATCTCGATAAACACCAAGCGACTACACAGAAACGAACGGTTTCGAAACTGAAAGAACTCGTGATATAGGGGGTTCCCCAAAAGCTTATCATATAATAGGCCTCACGCGAACAGAATTCTAGAACTCATTAATAATTCATGAGCTATTAGTCCAATCAGAATCCAACTATTGGGTCACATGATGGACCTTTATATCCCGATAACGCACTGATGTTTTATTAATCAGTTCTATAACAGAGATATGGAACTGATGTTTTATTAATCAGTTCTATATCAGATATAAAGCATTCCCAGAAATTTGATACAGTCAGCGGTTCGATGTAAACACGCGGGCTCATGTATGAGCTAGGCAAGGGAACGTGATTTTACAGAATGAAAGCGGTTTTCTTACTAAAAATCTACTTATATATCGAAGTTCACGCTCTCTGAACTGTAATTTCCCTTTGTATTTAAAAAGCGACGCCTTTCTTTCATCTGACATATATTCTTTGTATTGTTTCGATATACCCGCCAAAATCTTTCACACAGGAAACCCGAAATGCTTATTTTGCTAAAAAATGCTTATTTTGCTACACGAAGAGACATGGGAGGTTACTAAGGTATAAACAGAGACGAATGACGTKCTAAATAATGTAGAAGTACAAAATCTCTTGTTTCTGCTCAAAAAAATCGACTTGGACCTTCGCATTCCACAATCCGAGAGGTCAAAGAATGGCAGTTCTTCGAAGGAAAATGGAATCGGTTTAGCCAAAGTGTTTTTATCTTTTTTTGGCACAGAAATGTAGCTTAGTATGTGCTCTAACGAATAAGATTTGCGGAGATGAAAAATCTGGTAGTTATGTATGAGTCAATTCCAAAGGTGCCCA